GGTCATTGTTATTCCTAAGAATATTTGGCTAAGAACTAACTACACGAACGTTACATAGGCGATGCTGCTCAAAACATCAACAACTTCCGGCCTGATATTATATTATCTCTTCCTCGGCTCTTCCATCGGCACTCGGACATTGACAGATCGACATTCTAGTAATACTGTGTTTTCGGTGGAAGATTTTGCTTCTGATTATTTTCCAATGATCTTGTTAGTAACTTAGTGTGCCTAGTGACTAGTTATAGGCCACCGGTGGCACTTCGATCAGCTGGTCCTGAGGCGGCCAAACCGCCTTTCCCGAAAATTTCTTCTAGGAGTCTATTTTCTCCCCAGCATGGGTGGCTCCTTTTAAACTGTAGGTCGAATTTACCCTTTACATAACCGTGTGATGTTACGTGGGTATTCTTAGCACACTGCTCGCTGTCCTTTGAGCTCATCGTGATGTGCCATCCCAAAGGATCGACTCGGGCCTTTCTCCCGCTGCCGGTAGTCTTATGTAGCCCCGACCTAACCAATCATAGTAGAACAAGCCAGTTAGTTATCTTTTCCAAGAGAGCTAACTTTATAACTAATGTACCTTATTAAGATGGCCTTGGGGTATAGGCCCTTATCTCGGGCCGTCTGGTAAGCCAGGGCGATAAGGCCCTGGCGCTCGGCTGCATTTTTGGGGAGAACTCCCCGTTGGAAAAAGTACCTCACTATATTGATGGTTGACATGATTCTTATGTAGCTGGTAACCCTACTCAAACTGGTCGTGTTATGTACTATAGGCCTGGTAAGTCACTGTAGAACACGAGTCAGTTGTATGCTCGAAAAGACTTCGTTGATAGCCCCATCGCTATACATGATGCTATCGGTACCTCATAACAATGGCTTTAGGGTATGGCCCCAAATCCCTTACGGTTTGGTAAGCAAGGGTGATCATGACTTGGACGGCTGCAGGTGATCGATCTGACGTTTGCCCGCAATGGTGGTCGAGTTGTGGAAATTGGACCTGATAGATGATAACAGGCAAGTTGCCTTAGTTGGTCATGCCCTCATGAAAAAAGGTGAAAATGTGTTTTTGATAGCAAATGTTACCTTATCAAAATGGCCTTAGGGTAGATTTTCCTGTCTCGTGCTGTCTGATAGGCCACTTTAACGAGTGATCGGAGGTGCTCCTCATTCTGGGGTAAGTGTCCTCGATAGAAGAAGTACTTCACCATATTGATGGTCGACATGGCTTGGCTCGGGAGATACGGCGTCTGTTGGTTTCACTCAAGGTAAAGGGATTCAGGATAGATAGGAGGTTGGATGAGCATGTCCGAGAGTTTTCTCTGCACGGGTGGGACGGCTGTGTTGACCTGCTTTATAGGTAACTCTTCGCTCGGACCCTGTCGGCGCAGGTGCCATTTAGAATGTGGAAACCGCATGCAACAAGCTGCGGCAGGAGCTTTCGCGTCAACGCGGCCTGCAGTTTTGGCCCCCAAATACCAAGGCCACAGCCAGCCAGTATCTAGCTAGACACATAGCCCCTGCATACGTAGTATATAGGCCGTGAAAATGAAGGGTTGGAGCAAACGTATCAAACGGCTGGCGGCCATGGGGTGCAAAGTGGTTATGCATGCTGTTGCCAGCTGGTTAGTTATTTAGAGGCCGGGTCATCCGCCCCCCTGTGCAAGTCTATGTTTTATTGCTTGATATGTGACATCTGGGTATTCAGAGGCCAGGCGGAATGAGGTTGCATCTCTGAAAAGTAAATGTAGTATGGAACCGTCGGTGGGAAAAGGAATTTGGGAACTGCAGTCGACCCGGCGCACGAAAGCAGAGATTTTATACCCCCGCTGGGTCGGAGCTAACTGACGCATTCACTTCTTAACTGTTGGTTAGTGACTTGGGCGGCCTTCACTGGTGCCCCGAGGCCAGCCAGAATCACTGTCAGGGGTGAATGAACAGCAGTCAATACGAGCTCTCTCTAGCTAGGCAACTGGTTGACAGTAAGTAGTGTTGTAGTCAAGCCGTGGATGTCTGCTTAGGTAAGGGAAAAGTGCTTAGGTAAGTATATGGGTGGGGGAGGCTTAGTAAGTAGTGTGGTTAATCATCCAATAATATCTTGTTAGTTCACTTAGTAATAAAAATTACATAATGAGAATACGCTTTCTAACGTAAGTTGCTCTTTTAGTCCGCCGTATAGTCAACCATTAGTTATAATAATGGAGTCAGTTGGTTGCTCTTGGGTTTCCTGGCAAGCAGAGGCTGGCCTTGTAGCTTCATCCCGCTCAGGCTGGCCTGGGTTCATTCTCCTAGCCCGGTCGTTTTGGCAACTAAGGTCATTTGCAGCAGCCTTGTCACGAGTATCATGAGGCCACCTTTTCTACTGTCATCGGCCCTTTTCACTTTTGCAAGAAATACCCCAAAGTTCCAGCGTGTGCTCCAACGTCTTCCCCTGCAGTTTTCAACATTGCCAAAGCTTGCCACGTCCACCCCTCGCGAGGCTCCAGGTTCCCAGTACGAGTATATTGACGACAGTGTGGAATTATTAGAACGATACCTGCCGGGGGGGTATCATCCGATATCAATTGGAGACCTACTGAACAACCGCTATCGCGTTGTTCACAAGCTCGGCCATGGAACATTCTCTACGATCTGGCTTGCTCACGACAAACAGAAGGCTGCATATGTAGCTGTCAAAGTGAGCACAGCAGATTCAACCCCTAGGGAGGCTGATGTTTTGTGTACCATTGCCAGCTCGTCTTCCCACCCTGACCACCCAGGCCGGGCCATGATCGCTAGGATCCAGGACCAGTTCGAGCTCCAGGGCCCAAACGGACGTCATCTATGCTATGTTACAGCTCCAGCACGGTGCAGTGTAGCCGCTGCGAATTTCTGCCGGCTCTTTGCTGTTGAGACTGCGCGGTCGCTCGCTACCCAATTGGTGTTGGCTGTTGCATATATCCATGGCCAGGGGTTTGTTCACGGAGGTTAGCAAACCACAAAAAGCTATCTAAGACCCTAGTATAATCCAAACTAATTTCTTAATGCAGACATTCACCTGGGAAACGTTCTGATTCGGCTGCCATCTAGTCTTGATCAGCTCTCTGTTGACCAACTGTACGAGAAGTTCAAGACGCCTCTCGTAGAGCCGGTTGTGCGGCACGATAAGCAACCGCTTCCCGCTGGAGTCCCGTCTCACGCAACCCTCCCTGTCTGGTTGGGAAAAAGGGCAAACGAAATTTTGCCCACTGAAGCTCATCTAATCCTAAGCGACTTTGGTGAGGCCTTCTCACCATCTGATCCCCACCAACGGAAGCTGGGTGAGCAATGTCGATCACCTGCTGCCTTCTTACCACCGGAAGCGCACTTTGAACCAGAGAAACCGATCTCCTTTCCTTGCGATATCTGGACGCTTGCATGCGCCATATGGTCTATTCTGGGTTCCCGCGACCTTTTTGAAAGTATGCTGGCTACAAGCGATGATATCTCCAAGCAGCAGATGGACATTCTTGGACCGTTGCCACTTGAGTGGTGGACTGCATGGGAGGCCCGTCCTAGATATTTTGACGAAGGAGGCCAACCAAATGAAGGCCGGTTTGTCTACCCTTCTCTAGAGCATCAGTTTGAGCGGTTCATACAAAAACGTCGGCAGGGGGATAGGATGGGTGAATTCGATGCCGAGGAGGCACGGGCATTGCTTGACATGATCCGTCCCATGCTAGCATTTAAACCAGAGCAGCGGGCAACTATAGAGATGGTCCTCGCTTCAGACTGGATGATCAAATGGGGGTTGCCAGAGTTTCAGAAGCTACAACCTGTTAACTAGCGATTTATTCCTGTGAATACCCTGTACCATATTGGAGTCGCTAGACTTATCGGGAGAAAGAGCAGAGAGACTCGATTAGAGAGACGCATGCTGGTTATTCCAATTCAACTCATTCATATTCCTGTCAAAAGTCGTTGATTCTTTGATAGAAATAGGTGCAGTCGTAGGCGTAGGCATATCATCCCATTGGGCAGAATCCAATTAGATATCTTATATTATTTGAAGAGTCCGTTGACTTGCAAACAAGCATTATAACTATGTAGCCTTCGAGGCAGTGATTCACTGGGCTAGCTACCTGCTATATCCACAATGATATACAGAGGGCTTCTTGTCAGAAAAAGGTCCTACCTTTGCCGGGTCAGCCAGGACAGCACTCTAGAAATAGCTAGACATCAGACTACTGAGCTAGAAGGCGAAGCCTGTGAGGCTTGCCTCGTGTTGGAAGATACCGAGAGAGTAAATTTATTATTGATATCCATACCCACTCTGTAGGTCCCGGTTTGCAAAGGATTCATACTAGCCTCTACCTAGATTGGATGGCGGGCACATTGCCCACCTGCAGAATGCTATCCCGGAGTTTAGTTATTCCATTTATCCTCCCGGACCAATCAGATGCATGAGTATCAACCGTGTTACATAAGCAATGTGAATTTGTCAGCACTTCGGGATTTTGCCGCTCGGCGCATGGAAACTTTAGCTAAAAAAAAAAAAATAACTAGCGAAAGCCGGATTCTCGTCCACCTCCGGCTCTGCTCTCTCTGGATTTATAATCAGACGGACGGGACGGCGATGGCAGGATCCTTCAGTCGAGTGCATTATTAGCATGTACATATTGCAGCGGGTGTCCGAGTTTGTTATCCTCGTCCGCTAGCATGCAGCCGTGGCCCAGGGCGGGCGGCACCACCGGTTATTTAGTTATAGATCTATAACTACCTCCACCACAGCCGCAGTTATCACAGCTTCGGGTCGGCATCAAACCACTGGCGAACAGACGGGCCAGACACTCGTTTCTCTCTCGGTTATAGAGGTAGAGGCAGCCATATCTTCTCTCTCTCTCTCTCTCTCTCTCTCTTCGTGTCTCTTCACTGCTCTAGACATAGAGAAATGCGGGTGGCTCTACAGCCGCAGGATATACCACTCTCCTGCCATCCGATTTTCCCCTCGCTGACAACCTGAATTCCCCTCCTATATATTTACCATGGACGGGCAACGGTCTGACTCGTCATTCACTGACGCAGTTATCGTCGGTAAGTGGTGGGCTTTGCATTGTTATGTTGTATAGAATATAGACCAGCAACGCTAACACTGCTGTCTAGGAAATGGCCCCTCTGCTCTGATTCTATCCTATATTCTACATGGAAACGTCCCCTACTACAACCTTGACTCACCTCATCCTGATCCCATATTGCATGCAAAGCTGAGGGATGCCACGGAGCTTCTCCGGCTCGATGTTGCCCGCTTAACCAACCATTTCGAAGCCTCCCGATTCTCCTACTCGACGCAGTCCTTGCCCATCAACTCCCTGGTTGACTCGCTCGTCCGGCCGTTTGGCGAGACCGATGATCGCGAGTCAGCATCCTGCGTCTCCTGGCATCACGATCCCCAGCGTGCGGTTCCCCATCTCTGTCTTGGTGATGCGTTGCAGCCCGGTGGCCAGTGGACTGAGTGTCCTCCCGGCACCACATGGGATATCCAGTCTCTCAGTTACGCGGGGATGCTTTCTTTGCCAGGGTACAGCTTCTACGATCACTACTACGCTACTCATGGTGTCCACATGCCTTCATATACCCGACCATCCAGACTGGCAATAGCAGAGTACCTGGCCGCATATCCGGCCGCTGTTGGTATCGGCAACTCCATACAAAACGGACGGCTAGTTTCTGGTGTCTCTCGAACAGATGATGGCTTCTACATTTCCTCACACCGCATTCATTGCAAACACCTTGTCCTCGCATCTGGCATATTCACCGAAGTCAAACCTGCAAGACCTCTCCTCCAGCCACTACTCTCTCTTCCAGCTCATCCAGATGTATCCACGACAGAAAAGGCACCTCTTCTTGTCATCGGTTCTGGCTTTTCAGCGGCTGACATCATTATCTCTGCTCCCCGAGACCAGAAGATCATTCACATCTTCAAATGGGAGCCGGAAACAAATCCTTCTCCGCTTAGAAGCTGCCACCAGCAAGCGTATCCTGAATACGCCGGAATATACAAGCTCATGAAACGCAGCACGCTGGCCAAATTCACTAGCTCCAAACCAAACAAACGAAACCAAACTTCTCTCTCTCCCTTTCTCACCACTCGCGACTGGGATGATATCTATGAAGCCCTGCCCAACACGCTCGTTGTGGATGTGGAGATCGATGGCACCGAAGGTATTGTCACTTTTCGATGTAGTGACGGCTCCACAATCACTCGCCGTGTGTCCGGCTTATCCTACGCCGTGGGCCGAAAGGGCTCACTGGCCTATCTTGACCACATGCTTCAGCGTGAAATACTCGGCGCCGGCTTTGACCAATCCCAAGATGCATCCATTGCCAAAGACACTCTCAAATCGGCTGCCGTGAACGATCTCGAGGTAGCCAATGACGTGTTTATTATTGGCAGTCTCACAAGTGACTCCCTTATTCGTTATGCTTACGGTGGCTGTATATATGCAGCAGGGAAGCTCATGGAGCGGCACGCTCAACGTCAGGTTCACCCCCCACCTTGCGATGGTCCTGTTGATCACACAGTACCTGGCCAGCCGCAGCCCGACCTTCCTACCACCCCATCACCCAATACACCAATGAACATATTGAACCATACCAAATTTAATAATAAAAGCAGCAATACAGTACCCAGTGAGCTTCGCATGCACAGGGTCTCCTCTGACCTTAAACTGGGATCAAAAAGTGATAGATTTGGCAGCAGAAGGCAGCGACCTTGGTGGGCGTTTATCTTTTCTTCATGAGCAATTTTATATATCTTTAAGCTTACAATGCACACTGCTCTTGTTGCATTCGTCTATACTCTCTATTAACTAATACCACCCGTGCATGAAATACCAGCATCACTGGGCCTCTTTAACCTCCCTCCGATACTAATTGACTACCAAGTTTGATAGATCCTAGGTGAAATTTCTTTCACCTAAGCTGTCAAGGGAAGTTGAGGTGATAGCAGAAATAAAGCCTGCCTACAAACCTGACACTTGGCTAGTTTGCTTTGCTTGCCTGCATGCATGCATATGATACCCCTTGCTATCATAACCAATCTGCAGATAACAAAGGAAACTCTAGTATACACCAGATATGTAGCGGGTGCATAGCCGAGATGGCTACATGCAGGAACCGTGTCAAATATACCTTCATGCACATTTGCCAGAGAGTAAATAATGGCTATCTTGAGATGCTCCAACTTGGTTGGCGTGGTGAGTATTTTAAGCCTGATTGTGAAATCCACACCAACGATATACCCATCCTATAATGTATATCCCTCCTGGTAAGAGCTATTAAGATGACCACGACAGTTGAGGGATATCCTCCTGTAATGCACGCCAGAAGTCTTTTACTGTCCACTTTTTAGGTGGGACTGTAAGGCGGCGGTTGGCAGGCTGTTTGTTATGCAGCCTTGGGTTGACTACGCCAGAGGCGTAAATTATAATGCCAAACGGCAGGGCTTTTGGCATATCCATGAAATCCCGCTCACCATAGACTGCATAGCTAGTTAATGCAACTAGTTACCCGAGTATATATTGGATAGGGGATCTATGGTATAAAAGAGGCAACCTTGTCGTCTCAAACACAAGATAAGAAGAGCACATTCAGCCTCTCGAATCACCTCTTTTCTCCTACCTGCCTCTAGAACAGTAACTTATCCTCTCTCAAGATGCGTCTTCCGGTCCTCCTGGTGCTATTCCCAATCCTAGCTTTCGCCAGCCCTGCTCCCATCAGCCCTGCTCCCGAAAACCCTCTTGAGTCTCTACAGGCCAGAAGTGCGAATTATTGCTGCAAACCCTTTCCGCCAGGTAGCAAGGTAAGTCTCCTAGAGAGTGAACTGACTAGCCAACCAGCCGCTTCCGCAACTGATATACTAAATCAATACAACTAACTATTCTGCTTAACCATAGAGCTGGCGCCTCTGTGGAGATGGCACGTTTGGAACACCATGCTGCGGATATGGGAGTAAGCATCCGCCTTTACATCACCCGTATCTGCTGTGTTTTGATAGCCTGTGATCCGATGTCTAACTTCCTGTCCCGTTATAGAGTGTAACATTTTTTGTTGCGCCTGCAAAGGTGGATGCCGTGTGGTTTAGAGGCGGCTCTAAGACACGGCTTATTATCATGGATATTTAGTTAACCATCTTGGTTAATGATAGTATTCATCAAATGTTGCCGGCATCAACTGATACTGACGTGACTATAAGCCAATTTCCGTGTCACCGCAAACGGCGTTAACGAGTTACTCTGCTCCATCACATTATCTTTTCCTTGCTTTGATGTGGATTGCTGTTCCTGAATACGATAACTATGAGTTACCTGTTCTCTGTGAAGTGATCAACAACATGCATGAGTTGAACCAATATCGTTCTTTGTGTACGCCGTCTGGCTACACTTGTTCGCGCATGATCTATAACCAACTGAAATACCCCAAGGCTGCACAGGGTAAGATCTGGAACGTTGCGGGATACTTCCTTTCCATGATTCCAGGCCCGTATCTTATCGTCGGATGTCATTGTTATACCATTCCATGCATGTAACTATACTATGACTACCGTTTATCGTGAATGAGAACTGCTAGGTCGCGCGATAACCCCTTGATGGCCGCTGTATGGCGCAATTGTAACTGCGAGGAATTCATTTACTGTCCACTCCTTTTCAAGCTTACTGTTACGGCCCCTCAAACATAGAGGCCGACATGAACCTGCGAGTGAATGAGTTCTCCCATGATAGCTATGACGTCGTTCTTATCACAGATCCACGCCGATATAACATGCTCCTCTGGTATAAAGATGCACCCTTCCCTCCCCTGTAGCCATCCTTAGCTCCAAGGCATAACAGCACATCATCTACTTGACTATATCTGGCCCCTATACAGATCAGAGACTACGCACCTTTTCCTTCACAACAATGAAGCTTTCGGCCTTATTCGTCTTCCCAGTACTGGCCCTCGCCAGCCCATTCAACCTCGCTACCACCCCCGACACGGCAATTACATCAAGAGGAGAGCAAGCCTGTTGCAAAGCCTGGGCGATTGCAGGACCAGTAAGTGACCAGGCTCTGCGTCAGTAGTTTTATGGAAGAGAACTAACTCACCGTCTTATGTATAGAAGTACAATAAGTGTGAGGATGGGACAACTGGAACTCCTTGCTGTGGATATGGAAGTAAGTATATATATCATTGCTTATGAAGCGGGATACCCATTAACTAGAAGAATGACTAATTTATCCCTAGAGTGCAATGGTTTCTGCTGTGCTTGCAAGGGAGGATGCCGCAGAGCGAAAGGCTAGGGCTCATATATTGACGCATGATGTTTGCCATCGGATCTTGCTACAGTTAACTAGTTAACTAGATTTAGATACAACTGTAGCAAGGAATAACCTGATTGGTCTTTCTTTACTACTCCCGTATGCAACCTATAGAGAATCTCCATTATCAAAATATGCCGATCACGTAATTTAGTTACTTCAACAGCTAGATGTAAGTTACGTTAATCCTCGTGAAAGGTTCATGGCACACAAGAGATCATGTTCATTTATACAAAGGACTTCAATTCATTAGTTTATAAATCACGGGGGATAATCAAGTATAGTGGTGTATGGTGACAACAGCTCCCATCCGTTTTGGGGCATCCAACCATTTGAAACATCATTGATCCATTCCAATCCGTACAAAGAAAAGAAATTAAAAGCAACTCGTGACAATGACCATATTAGGCGCGAGTCATAACCTGGATTTACCAGCGGTGATTATATAGGGCGCAGTAGGATTAGAGAATCATAGGCCTCACGTCGGATTATATAAATGCAACGAGTAATGCCATGCTGGAGATACAAGTCACAACCTTGCCCCAAGTTGAAGGGGAGAGGGATCCTGCACCTCCAGGGAATGGAACAGGGTCTGTGGAAGAGGAAGGTGGGATGCCGGTCCCTGAGCCAGGAATGGAGCCGCCCCCGGTAGTAGTCGCTGTGCCCATGCTAGTGGGGACAGGGCCCTCGGAGGAAGAAGAGCCATGTCCTCCCCCACCGCCGCGAGTGGTAGTCGAACCGCTGGCCGTGGACGATGGATGGCGCGTATTGGTTGACTCTGGATCGCTTCCGGTACTTGAATGTGTCGCGGTAGATGTTGACTCCGTCGATGCATCCGTCGAAGTAGGCTCCGTTGTCTCCGTGGACTCAGCTGTAGAAGTGGTCCTAGTCCTTTCTGTAGTTGATGAATCTGTCGATGACTCAGTTGATGATTCACTAGAAGTCCTGCTTGATTCAGTAGAGGAAGTTTCACTCGTTGTCGCAGTTGAAGAAGATCGCATTGAGGTAGAAGACTCTGACGTTGTCATGGAAGTCATAGAGGTAATAACTGTTGAATGAGTAGGCGATGAGGTGGTAGAAGAGGTCATTCCAGGCTCAGGCCTAGTAGTAGGGCCACTGGGGATAGGAAGGGTGTCACAGTAATCAAGCCATTTCTGGAATTCTGGGAAGAGAACAGTGTCAAAGTCTGAGTATGTGCCATTGGATCTATCATTAGTGCATTTTTTGCATTGCCCAACAAGCTTCATAAACAGAGAGTCCGGCTTGCACAGCGTGGGATCTGCTCCAACGGCTTCTGCTTCAGTCGCGGCAGAATCACACTCATCGTAACACTCGCCGGCCACAATCTCAGGACCGCGTTTGAAAAGAGCGGACAAGGAGCGACGGAAATAACCTTGAGAGGTTGCCGTCACGTTCTCAAACGAGAAGATATCAAACGTAAGGCCGAATTTTCTTGGGTCAATGTTGAAGTAGCCGGGAGAAACAACCCACTTCTCAACCTTACCAGGTGTCCATTTCTGTGGGGGGTGTCTTGGAGGGCTAGGAATACACTCATCAGGGCTACAAACAAAGTTCTGACTTGGAAGTCCGACCTCGAAGTTACACTGTCCGTCCGCGGGAGTACGCTTTGGTCTGCAAAGTTGTCCAGGAGGACATCCCCAAATGTAGTTCGATGGAAGTGGCGCCAATGGAGTATATGTTGGGTTGGCAGTGCGGGTTGGGCAGAGAGATATGGAGAAACTCGTTGTCGTTGTAGTTACTGTATTGGTCTTGGTGACAGTAATTTCCTTTCCTGGCTCTGTCAGTGTCTGGGTTATGGTCGATGCTGGCAAAGTAGTTGTAATCACTGTTGTGCTGGCAGGGATTGTCACTGTGGTTCCAGATTGGGTTACAGTACTGGCAGGCAACGTTTGAGTCACTGTCATGATGGTTCCAGGAAGGGTGGTAACCTTGGTGATTGTCGAACCCGGCAGGGTAATTACATGAGTCTCCGGAGGTGGAGTGCTAGTAACCGTGCTCACTGTTCCAGGCTCAGTGTAGGTCTGGGTAATCGTCGAGGCGGGAATTGTGGAAGTTATTACCGTAGTGCTTCCAGGAAGGGTGACTGTGGTTCCTGATTGGGTAATCGTGCTAGCAGGCAATGTGCTGGTCACCGTCATAGTGCTTGCTGGAAGCGTAGTCACCTTTGTAACAGTAGATGCAGGCAAAGTGATGATTTTAGTCTCCGGTGGCAGTGTAACAGGAGGAGGAGTCACGGTAGGCCCTGGTACCGTAACTGAAGTGGTGAGAGTTGTACCTGGTAGAGTAGTGTACATCGTAGAAACGTAGGTTGAAGTGATGGTAGTAGGTACCATAACAGTTACCACTGACGTGACAGTTCCAAACGTGGTTGTCGTTATGTAAGTGGGCACGACGGTTGTGAATGTGGTCGTAAGCGTGGTCGT